TCGAGGGCCAACAAAAAAAATGTGCACACTATCCCCCCCTCCCCCCCCCCCCCCCCCACTGAGCGACTTTTCGGCCGGCGCGATTTTCAAATTTTCGGGAGCAAAAAAAAAAAAAATTGTGCTCACTACCCCCTCCCCCCCCCTCCCTCCCCCCCCCCCAAACTAAGCGACTTTTCGGCCAGCGCGATTTTCACATTTTCAAGAGCAAAAAAAAAAAATTGGGCGCCCTCCCCTAAGAAATCCTGGATCCGCGCCTGCTAAAGGGATTGCGGAAAATTTAAACACTATTTGTGTTTCGTGATGACCCAGTAGAAGAAGAATAAGGGCTAGCCCCCCCCCCCACCCCTTAAGAAAAAATGGCCCAAAACAACGCAATCATTATAAATTCCGTCTACTACTTGATACCAACACGCGCATGATGGATCATTTTTTAGACAGCTAGTGAGACAGTTCTGTTACGAGAAGCAATTGAACGAATTGCCATGGCTTGTATTATTTGTTTTAGAACGCACTACGCTCTTTCGATACCACGTGGCCCCAATTAAGCACAATATATACGTATTTCAGTTCTTCTCAACAATGACCTAGATCTAAAACTGGCCGCGGCTGTAACCCCCCCCCCCCCTTCTTCGTAAAGAAATATTCGTTAAAATTCTTTGAAACAGAATGATAAACTAATTTCTTCCTGAGATAATATCTCAAGAAGAAATTAGAAATCAAGAAGAAAATTTCACCTCGAACATACTGGCCCGAATTCACAAAGCAAGGTTTGAGTTCAGACCAAGGTTTGACCTCAAACCTCCTTTTGTTTCGCCAAACCTCCTTTTGTTATTTACAAACCTGGTTTGTAAATAACAAAGGGAGGTTTGGCGAAACAAAAGGAGGTTTGAGCTCAAACCTTGGTCTGAACTCAAACCTTGCTTTGTGAATTCGGGCCAGTATGTTCGAGGTGAAATTTCAAACATTATTTCCTGGTAACGCTCTTCTTTTTTGATGCATGTTCTATTCTTACGATTTAGGCATAATTTACTATGTTGATTTGCAATTGATAATCTCCCTGGGAGTTTTGCGATATCCCCGATGATACAGGTACAGTGTATTTAATTTTGTTCGTAACATTAGTGTTTTGCAAAGAAAGAACATTCTGAAAATGAGCGTCTTCCTTCTAACGAAACATATTGATGATGTTCCCGACAATACGGATATCATATGCATAAACAAAAATCGTAATACAGATAAAACGCTTTTTAAATCAAATTCAAGGAGAAACTACGACATTCTTGATTAAGTATCATTTTCAACATCAAGGATTTAAAAATACGTTATCTAATTTTAAGAAGATTCAAAGGATCTATGTATTGAAATAACAGACTGATGATATAATTATATGATTTATAATGATCATACGACAGAACTGTTTACAAGATTCAACGAAAATTAAAGAAAACAAAACATGCGATAACATCGCTAGAGGAAATATACACAATTTTAATGTAATATGAATCAAATAAAGTGTCAAAACATGCACGAGGAAAACAATGTCAGAGAGAGTGGGGTAAGTATAAAATAAAGTTGTTTTTGTCGTGAACAAATCAATTTGTATTAAAGTCAATATACTGAACACAATCATGAACAGAACAGGAGGAGATGAAATAATGAACAATCATGCCAACGTTAACGCCTACAGAACTCCGATGTTGAGAGGAAAATAAACAATCAGAACAAACATTGTAACCAATGTCATGTACGTAAAATAATATTAAAACAAATCAGTATCCAAAGTAATGCTTTTCAGAGTCAAATCTCGCAAGACGAGAGCGACACACAAGCAGGCACTTTACATGAATAACTAATGCGCCGGACCGGGCGCGAAAGGGCGCGAAAGCTATTCAAAGTTTAAGCTCCCATTCACAAGTGTCAAGTGCTTCACCGGGGCGCGCCCCGGCAGTGTAATTTCGTAACAATGAGACTCCAAACAATAGCCAGATTTTAATGAGCTGGGAACCATCTGAAGTCCTCTCGTATCCGACGCAAAAAGGCGCAAATGGGCGCAATAAGGCGCCTCCTTTGTTCTCATATCCTGCTCTGCGCCCCGACGCGTCGCGGCACAGTCGCAACTTTGGAAGGCTCCCCTAATTCTGTGTGGGTCTGGACACATAATGGCGTTTTCTACTCACATCACATTAACCCCCTAACCACCCCCTCCCCAGTGACTCCGCACATGTTAAAGGTAATACAAAGTTTTGGGAAATTTTGAAAATTGGGTGGATCGTGATTCTTTACAATTTCGATATATTTGGATGCCCCTGTGGCTGAATTATAAGCACTAGAAAATTTATCACCTAAAACACTTCTGCTTTCGAGAAAAATTGAATATAAACATTTACCGGTGCTCTCGGTAAATTTTGAAAAATTTCAAATAGCGCCTACGGCCGTATAATGGTAGCTACGACCCTTACAATATCAGAATATGTAGTTGTGATATTTAATTACCAAATGAGAATAACTAATTGGTAGATTTTTTTCAAGAAACATTGTTTTATAGCTTAATTAATATCTTGACCTAATATGAGGGAGCTATACAACATAAATAGTTAATTTACAATTTCATAAGTTTAGACTTGATTTCAACCGCGACAACGATCACTGAATATTGTAGGATCGCATATGCTTTCAATATGTTCATTAGAATCAAATTCATGACCCCATACCAAAACTTTGTATTACCTTTAACATATACTTCCACAACGTCTTCATATTCTATCTCAATATTGATTTACTGGTTGAGGTTCATTTGCTGGTCTTTTGGAATCAACACATTTCAGAGGATTCACGCATTTCACGGTGAAAAACTTCTCCATGACCATGTTTCAGCCCGTACGCGATCGCCTCCAGCTCCAGCAGATATGGGGCGGCAGCGTTCATACGTATTGGTACTAACTGCACAGTATAGCCACTGCTGACGGCCGCACTGCACTGCGAGCTTCCGTTATTTACATCAATAAATCAACGTATCTACCTATTCTACTTTGCTATTGTTGCACCTCAACATTGCATCACCGAAACTTAAAAAACATCGCCAAATTGCTCATACCCCCCCCAATAGCGCCCTCCGTGACCCTTGCGTCCGAGCGCTGCCAACGTAACCTCTTCCTCTTATCTCTTCGCATCCGAACGGATAAGTTACACTATAAATCTTTTCCTCTTTTGTCGCTTTTTGGTTCGCATTTTCGCCTTTTATAATTATTCTCTATGATTTCCTTTTCGTTAGAGAGTAGTTTCACTCCGTGAATTTATTTATTTATCAGTATTCTAGAACGTTTTCTTACCGACAACTGTTCTTTTCCTCTTTCGCGCTTTCCCGTTCTCACTCCGAGGTCTCGGGTGCGTGCGGGGGTAGTCGGTGGGGTGTTTCAGTCACTGGTAGTTTATTTGATTCTGTTTGATAATTGCTCGTACCCTTTGTTTAATCTTTCTTTCCCGCAGGTTTAATATGTCTCGCAGTTCTAATTTTCTTTTAGCAGGTGTTTCTAAGAAGAAATCGAATTCTGTCGCGAGAAAGAAGACGAAGGATTCTAGCAAGTCTTCGTTAGTTACGCCCCTCGGGAGTGGTGGTGACACCGCAAACCCCGGGGATGCAAATGTCAGCGGACATTTATGCGGGCAAGGCAAGCCCATGAGAATGGTCGAGGGGGTGATGTTATCTCCCCTCGGGACGGTTCCCGGAAACCCAGAGGTATCAACTCTGGGTGGAACGGACCTTAGTTCTGCACCGCCATCAATTGTTCCGTCAGGTCTTTTGTTTGGTCGGTGCACAAATCCATCAACGGATATTCGGGTTGCTACCGTGGATCCGGACTTGAACCGGTCACCGACCGGTTCTTCTGTTCCTTTGTCGGCTTTGCCGGTTCCGGATTTTGGTCCGGATACCTGTGCAGCCGAGTCGGATCCTGGTGCTTCAACTAACCGCACCTCTCCTTCGGTGCGTGTTCCGTTTCGGTTTGCGTGGAGCTCCTACCGTCGGGCTTTTATCGGATACCTGTCCCGTTTCTTCATCGGCCGCTACTTCTCGTAAGAGGCGGGGTATCCGGGACGCTGTGGCCGGTTCTTCCTCGGATTTTGTTTATCCGTCGAAGAAACCGCGCTCTGATGTTACGGGACCGTTTGCGGCTCCTCGGGGTCCGCCTTTGGTGGCTACTCTCCCTCCGTCGGTGCCTCCAACCCCCGCCGGAATTTTCGGATTGGATGCGGGCTTTTGCTGACGCGTTTCGCTCTTCGATGCCCGAGTCGGCTCCTCCGGTTCTTCCTACTTCAGTTTCGGATCCGATCGCGGTTGATTTAATTTCGGAGCTTTACGAAGATGCATCGATCTCTCCTGAGCAGTCGCCGGTGCGGGTTTCGAGTTGTCGTATTCCGCCGGGGTCCTCTCTTCTTGCTTCTCCACCTCACGCATCGTTGGGCGCTCCGATAGGCGGGGATCGTCCCTGTTTATCTGGTCAAGATAGGGGGGGCTCGGTTGATGGTTGGGACACTGGTTCCATCGCTCAGTCGTCTGGTTCAGCTGCGGGGGATGATGCGTCTATTCCGTTGGTGTCTCTGGCGGCGGAATCGTTAGCCTTGTTTCACAAATATGTGCCCGATTCTTGTGTCGTCCCGGAGTTATCGTCGGGGCGTCGGGGCTTCCTGTCTTCTAAATCGGACTCTTCAGCAGTTCAGGGACTGTTTCTTCCTGATCTACACAAAGAAGAATTTGTGAACGCCGCAAAAGACTTGTCGTCATCGACGGGATTTCTTAAGCGGCAGGTGAACAAGTACGCTTTCGTTCCTCAGGATGATGAGTCGTATTTGTGTCCTAAACGGGTTTCTCCCAACTTGTGGCTGTGGCCAGTCGTTTGGGGAAGAAGTTTGGGACTCGTGGTCCTTTTGATAAAAGTGACAACTTGCTGTTTGATCTTTCTTCATTGATTGCTTCTGGTCTCCGGATGTCCGTTGTTATGGACATGCTGGTGGAGCTTTTGGCTAGTGCGGACGATCTCCATATCACTGTTGAGGATCGTTCGATCTTGGTGCAGGTCATGAGAGAGGTATCGGGTATTCTTTTCTCACAGCTTGCGGTGGCTTCGCATTCCATCGAGAAGCATCGTCGGGAGGCTGTGCTCACCAGTTTGGGCATTCGACCACGCCAAATTCCAGGACTGCTTCCGCAGATTCCAGTGGCCAGCCCCCACCTTTGTGGAGATAGTTTCACTACTCTACTGCAAGCCGAGATTGATGGTGAGAAGCAGGCTCGAGACCTGTCCGTTGCTTTTCGCGATGTCCAAAAGCCGGTTCCTTCCTCCAGACCTCGTAGGAAAAGTTCGAAGAGTTCGGGTTCTTCTCGTAAGAACGTTGGCCAGTCTAAGGGCCGCCCTCAGGACTGGTACCCGGTCGAGGAGGAATACCAGGATCGTGGTCGTCCTTCGTCTCGAGATTCGTCTTACCGTGATTCTTCTTTCCGTGGTGCGTCGTCTCGTGGTTCGACTTCTAGGGGTAGGTCGTCCAGGGGTAGTCGCGGGGGATATTCATCTTCCCAGACTCCCTTTCGTAGAGGGGGGAAGTCTTTCTCTAGATGATGGCTTCCCCCGAGTGCTTGGGTCTCAGGTCGGCGGGCGGCTCCGGAGATTTCTCCCGGCTTGGGAGAAGATCACCAGCGACGCGTTTGTTCTGTCGGTGGTGCAAGAAGGGTTCTTCATCGATATTGTGGAACCTCTTCCGAATGGCGTCCTCCGGAGCCGATCATGTCCCCTCTTTATCAGGGTCACATTTCCTCCGAAATCGTGTCTCTGTTAGAGAAGGGGGCAATAGAAGAAGTAGATGATCACCCGTGTCTTTGTTTGTCGCCGGTGTTCGTGATTCCCAAGCGCTCGGGTTCTTTAAGAATGATTCTCAACATGAAGCGGATCAACCTTCATCTGGGAAAAGTTCATTTCCGAATGGATCATCTGGCAACCATCCTTCCGTCTTTGAATCCAGCAGACGTCGCGGTTTCTTTGGATCTTCGCGACGCTTATTTTCATATACCGATACATCCGCTGTCGCGGGACCTTCTGGGGTTTGCCTTCCTGGGCAAATTCTACCGATACAGAGTGCTCCCGTTCGGTTTGCGCCCTGCTCCTCGGATTTTCACGAGAGTCGTGGCGTCGGTCATGGCGTTTCTGAGAAGACGGGGTCTTCGTCTTTTCGCTTATCTGGACGACTGGCTGTTGGTTGCAAATTCGGAGGCTCTGCTGTTGGATCATGTGCAGATTCTGATCAGCACGACTCAAGATCTCGGATTTCTCATAAATTTGGAGAAATCGGAGTTCGTCCCGACTCGCACGCCGTCTTACCTAGGTGCTCAGCTGGACATTCGTCATCAGCTGGCTTGTCCCAGTTTCCACAGGGTCGAGACGATAGTCAGGACGGCTCGTTCTCTGAGATGTGCACGTCGGGTGAAAGCCGAGCGTTGGCTTCAGTGGCTAGGGTATCTCTCCAGTCTAGTCGACGTTCTTCCAGATTGTCGACTATTGATGAGACCCTTCCAATTCTTTCTGTTGGAGTTTTATCAGCCGGGCGTGAGTTCTCTTTTGACGTGGATCCCCCTGTCGTCCAGAATCAAGGGTCTTCTAGGTCCTTGGCTTCGTCGTTCCTTCCTCCTTCAGGGCAAACGCTTCCGAGTTCCTCTCCCTTCCGTGACCGTCACCACGGACGCGTCGCTGTTGGGTTGGGGAGGTCATTGCCAGGGGTCAATGATTTCAGGAGACTGGAGTCATCTGGACTTTCTGCCCCACTTCAATGTGTTGGAACTCATGGGAGTGTTTGCTCCGCTTCGTCACTTCCGTGCTCGTCTGGTGGGTCGCTCAGTTCTGATACTTACGGACAACGTGTCGGTGATGGCGTACATCAACAGACAGGGAGGCACTCATTCTGTGGCTCTGAATGAGTTGGCCTCTCAACTCTGGGCGTGGTGCAAGGGGGCGAGGGTGTTTCCGATTGCATCACATATCCCGGGCGAAGAGAATATCATAGCGGACTTTCTCTCCAGAGGCAAATGCCTTCCTTCGGAGTGGACTCTGTCTCCGACTGTCTTCAGGCAACTGGTGAGAGTGTTCGGTGTTCTCGACATCGATCTCTTCGCAACTTTGCTCAACCATCGTCTTCCTCGATTTTGTTCGAGAGTCCGGAGAACCAGGAGCTTTTGTTCTGGACGCTTTCGCGATCCCGTGGGGGGGGGGGGGGTGGAGGATTTACGCCTTTCCCCCGTTCGCGTTGATTCCCCGTGTGCTCAGGAAGATCAGGGAAGATCAAGCGATGGTGATTCTCATTGCTCCTTGGTGGCCGGCGAGGTGGGGACTCCGTGGTCGTTGCTATGTCATCCGGATCTGGTGTCGCAACCTCTGTCCGGTATTCTACACCAGCGGCCGGATATCCTCCATCTGACCGCTTGGCCGTTATCGGGGAGAGGGCTCGTTCGTCAGGTTTCTCCGAACGTGCTGCACAATTTCTAGTCCAGAGTAGACGAGAGTCGACCAGGACGGTTTACAACTCCAGGTTAGATGCTTTTCACACTTGGTGTGAGGAGGTGGGCGTCGCCCCTAGAGAGGCGTCTTTACCTTCTATTGCTGACTTTCTGATCTCTTTGTTTGACAAGGGAAGAGCTCTGTCGATGATTCGTGGCTATCGGTCAGCTATAGCTGCAGTTCATTCGGGGTTTGCCGATGGTACTTCGGTTTCCTCTGCTCCTCAGCTAGCGGCTCTTTTGAAGTCTTTCTCCCTTAAGAGACCCTTCTTCAGACCTCTGACGCCAGCGTTGAGTTTACCCAAGGTTTTGGAAGCTTTAGCACGCCCTCCCTTTGAACCGCTTTGTTCTGCGACGCTTCTGCATACTACGATCAAGACGGTTTTTCTCATGGCAATCGCTTCTGGTCAGCGTAGGAGCTCACTTCATGCCCTTTCAGTTGCCCCTGGGCATATCCGCTGGGAAGGACGTGGGGTTCGTTTGATTCCCAAGGCTTCTTTTATTGCTAAGAATCAATCTGACACGTCGGGTTCAGTGGAAGTGGTGCTCCATCCCTTGTCGGATTTGTCTTCGGTCTCCGGGGACAAGCTGTGGTGTCCCGTTCGCGCCCTCAAATGGTATCTTCACAAGACGAAGCCTTTTAGCAAGTTGGATCAGCTCTTTCTGGTTTCTCGAGAGCCACATTCGGCGGCATCTCGGGATACGATCTCCAGGTGGTTAGTCCTGGCTATCAAGGCTGCGGGCCCTGAGGCCTTGACGCCTGGCAGGACTCCTCGTGCTCATGATACTCGCAGTGTCAGTACGTCTTGGGCTCTTTTCAATGGAGTTTCAGTTCGAGATATCTGTAAGGCAGCTTTTTGGAAGTCTCCAAGTTCTTTTACTGCTTTTTACCTCAAAGATGTGCCCGCGGGCGAACGAGCCTTCGCGGTCGCTTCTCTGAAGGCGGCTTCGTCGTCTATTTCTCATTAATTTGATAATTTTGCTTGGTTTTTACCACCCGGCATTAATCTGTGCTGGTCTATAGCAAAGTAGAATAGGTAGATACATTGATTTATTGATGTAAATCATGAAAATCATTACTGATTTTATTATTTACGATATAAATCTACATATCTACCTATTTTCCCTCCCTCCCTCCATCCCCAGCGCCTTTACCAAGGTGTGTTCTAGGGAACTCGTGATAAGAGGAAGAGGTTACGTTGGCAGCGCTCGGACGCAAGGGTCACGGAGGGCGCTATTGGGGGGGGGGTATGAGCAATTTGGCGATGTGTTTTTAAGTTTCGGTGATGCAATGTTGAGGTGCAACAATAGCAAAGTAGAATAGGTAGATACGTAGATTTATATCGTAAATAATAAAATCAGTAATGATTTTTATGGTTTGTATCGATAATACTCGTAGAGATGGGATATATACCGCCATCCTCCGGCGAATAAGCGTACATTTCTTTACAATAATGGCGGCCTTTACTCTCTAGAAACCGACAAATTTGAACGAGAAATCTTGCACTCTCATCTAAGTTCCATTTCATTGGTTTAAGGTTTGAAAATTGAAACTGAATATTGTGTTAAAGTTATAACAGAAAAGATAATCTTTATTTTATAATTCCACGGGGGCGATTTTTAATTTTTAATTTTGCAATGCTCCCGTGAGCAACCTGACGGGGGCTATTATGGAGCTCAAGGGGGCGAATCGCCCCCGTGTATTTTGAGTGCTGAGTATAATAATTAACTGTTCATGGATGATTTTAAAAATAATTAGCAATTTTCTAGGTGTAAACTTATTTTTTACTCACACGGTACAGTACTCCACCACATCCTATGATGTTGTTCCATTCTTTAAGCCAGGACTTTGTTTCTGTATTCTCTCTCTTGATTTCATCCTTTGACTTCCAGCCACCTATGAGCTATTATCTGCAAACTGATAGTGCATCATCCTGTTGTTGAAGGGTCTCAAATTCTTCTGCGGAATACAATAGGTACACTCCAGTAGCACTGGAGGCTCTTCCTCTGGCGGCTGCTCCCCATTTACTACAACTTCCGCTGGAAGGACAGTACTAATTGTCAGAGCTTCAATCATCTCTTCACTTCTTCCTTGCCATTTCCAGGACAACAGCATAGCTACTCTAGAGCATCAGTGCATCTGTTGAGACGATATCTGATATCCAGCTGGAAGGGTGCTAGCTCCACTAGCCATCTTTGTTCAGTTGCCCCCAGCTGTGTACTTTGAAGATTTTTCTACCACCGCCAATTTGAGAGCTAGCAGCTCAATCTTGAAGCTTGAAAAGTCGGGATAGTTCTCTTCGGCTCCATGTAGGCTACGGCTTGCGAAAGAAATTGGATGCAGATGACCATTTTCATCTGTTTGTGACAAACAGGCACCAAGTACTTTAAGAGAAGCGTCAACCTCGAGTATAAACTCTTCTCTAAACCTTGGGTATGCAAGGACTGGCGTTGAGGACAGTCTATCGATCTTTTAGCTTCTGAAAGGACACTTCTGCTTCTGTGGTCCACACAAAACTTGGAGTTGATACAGTGTTCCCTGTCTTCCTCCTCGTCTTCTTTCTAGACTTTTGTGCGGTTAGTGCATGAAGAGGGGCTGTCAGTCTAGTGAAGCCAGGGACAAATCTCAAATAGTAGGATGCGAGCCCAAGGAAGGAGATCAATTATTATCCACTTAGGGGTGCTAGCCAAGAGTTGATCCTTGATACCTTGTTCGGATCAACCATGACACCCTTCTCACGATATTCCCTAGATGAGCCACTTCCTTCTTGGAAAGCTGACATTTTCCACCTTTCAGCTTCAGGCCATATTTCTTAAACTGGTTAAAGACTTCTCCAAGTCTTGCTAGGTGCTCCTAAAACGTTTTGGAGAACACCAGAACGTCATCAAGATACATATCTCTCTGGATAAGGCTTGGGTTGTTGCAAATATCCTGTGGCATTCTCTCAAATTCAGGGACGCCCCATGGAACATGGAAGGCGGTCATGCTGCCCCCAGTGTTCCGTCTTCTATAGGGTAAAAGGTCATATTTTTGTGGATGGTTTGTGTGCGCTGTATAGGCCACATTTCTCAAGGGATTTTTTTTCAAATTTTGAACGAAGATGTATCTTGGTATTATCTACAAGCCTCTGGATTTTAGTGATGCTGCCTCCCGTTTTCCGTCGTTTATATGGTCAAAGGTCATGTGTTTTTTGTGCATGTGCACTCTAGTGTGAGGTCTAACTGCAGTGTGAGGTCTAACTGCATCATTTCTTGATGAATTTCTTTCAAATTGAGTATGAAAGTGGATGTTGGTGAAATCTGTGCACCTATTGTTTTTGGTGATGCTGCCACCAGTGTCCCATGTTTTATAGGGTCAAAAGTTCATATTTTGGTAGGTATCTAGTGTGCGCTCTACAGGTCATTTTTTGTTTTCATGACAAATTTCTTTCAAATTTTGTATTTAGATGTATCTCGGTACAATCTACACATCTCTCCTTTTTGGTGATACTGCCCTCATTGTTCCATCCTTTATATGGTCAAAGGTCATATGTCTTTTATGCGCTCTAACTGCCGCATTTCTTGACAGATCTCTTTCAAATGTTGTATGGAGGTGTGTTTTAGTACAATCTTCACATCTTTGGTGTTTGGTGATGCTGCCACCTGAGTACCGTCTGTTATAGGGTCAAAGGTCATATTTTGGTGGCTGTCTTTTGTGCGCTGGTGTCTTGCGTTCCGGAAAGACCCCCCCCCCCCATTTGTTACGGACAAATAAGGTTGGCATCTCTGAAGTTGTACTGAGGTTTGCTATCTGAAGTTTTGAGGCACGTTGGGACAGTTTTGCCTGAGATGTCCCCTCTTGACCACAGCTTTAGCATCCTCCATCTGTCTTCCTTTGAGGTTTTCACACTTTTTAGCCTGGCTACTTCCTCCCGGGGTTACTCTAGTTCTGTCATTATTGCTTTCTGCTGTTCAACCATCTGTCACACAAGAGGTGTAAATCATTTATGACTGTCCTTCCCACCACAACATCTGCTTCTCTCACTCTGGGTATTGGGGGTCTCTTGGAGCTGGAGATCCTCTTCCCTAACCTTAGCGAACCTGCTGGATTCATGGGTCAACTGAATTCACCTGAGCTTTCTCCTCACCCAAGCCTCACATGCCCCTTTGACGAACTGGACACTCAAAGCCTTATTTTTTCAGTTGGCTCAGCGTTTCTCCTTGAGCTTGTGTGTCGACGGCAATTTCTATCTCGCTATAAGTGTGTAACAGGGCACGACTGAAATTACTAAGTGATTCTCCCTCTCGTTGTACACAATTTTAGAACTGGCTACTAATTGTCTGCGTGGTCTCTTGATAACCAAAGCATGATTTGAGGCAACTTAGAATTTCATCAAAATCATGCCACTTTGATTCAGTGAGAAACATGATTTCCTCTTGTGCTGGTTCTGCAAGATAATTAGTCGAGCCTTGCTTCTCATTCCCGTGTTGAGTAATAGTGGTGGTTATTTTACGTGACACCTCTGTGTACGACCCTTGGTCATCTCTTGGATCTGTGATTTCCTAACCGTGCATGAGTTCATTGTTCGTTATCATGACACTCGATCAGCATGGCAGCACATCGAGGCGGGAGTGCCGCAGGGCACGCGTTTGGGACCACTAATTTTTCTCGTGTTGACCAAAAGTATTCACCTGTCACCTGTCTGTTCTGGCTCCTTAGACAATTTTTTAAAAGACAATGTCTTGTAATGCCCTCCTATAGTTCATCAGTACACTACTGCAAAGAGTTCATTCCTTCCATAGCTGGATCTGTGGGAAGACTTAACAGGATTATCACCTGCTGGGCCTATAACTAAACTTGTCAAGCTGTGTTGAAAGATAGGCATCCACCTCTGATTTAAAGCTGTTTATGGTTGGTGCATTCACTGCTGACATCAGTAGTTTGTTCCAGGTATCGACTACACGGTGTGTGAAGCTATACTTGCAGATGTTGAGATGTGCGCGCTCCTTGTGGATCCTCCTGTTGTGGCCTCTTAGATTGGTTTCCAGCTCCTTCATTGTGAACAGGTTGTTCATCTTGATATCATTCAGACCATGCATGGTCTTGTAGACTTGAATCAAGTCACCACGGAGGCGTCTGTATGAGAGGGTAGGTAAGTTGAGCCGTTGAAGACAGGTTTCATATGGTAAGTCTCAGTGATGAAATCATCTTGGCTGCACCCCTCTGGACTTTTTCAATTGTAGTTCTATCCCTTTCTATAGTAATGGGCTCCACACACAGTTGGCATACTCTAGATGAGGACGCACCAGTGTCTTGTAGAGTGGCTTGAAGATCTCTTCATCTTTATGGTCAAATATTTTTTTGATTACTCTGATGATCCTGTTGGCCTTGTTAGCTGTTACACCCACATGCTTTCTGAATTTTAGGAATGGATCAAAAGTTACACCAAGGTCCTTCTCATCTTCATGAATTTCAAGGTCTTTTCTTATAACTACTCCTTCCATGTTGTACGTCGTCTTCACTACCTGTTTACTATAATGCATTATACCACAGATGTCTACGTTGAATCTCAGTTGCCATCTTTCAGACCATTTGCTCATTATCCAAGTCTTCCTGAAGAACTTCACTGTCTTTCTGTTCTGCAGAAGTAACGTCTACCTTATTTAAATCCTTCCACTTAGTTTTGTCCAAGTCATTTCTCAGACCATCGTAGTCACCTTTAGCATAGAGGTATCTTTTTGATTTCTCATCATCGTTATTAGCCTAGCATCGTACGTAGGTCAAACTCGATAACAACATGGTTGCTATCCACCATCTGATCTACATTCACAATGATTAAGTCCAGTAAACTTGGCTGCTGGCCTTCTCCTTTTATTGAAGTTGACTACTTGGTAAAGGTAGTTATCTTGAAGACAGTTGTGCCTCGATCACTTGCTGATGATGTCCATGACTCCTATTCAATTTCAGAGTAGTTGAAATCACCCACTAT